TTTCTTTCTTTCTCTTATATTAATAGTCATGCTGGTTCTGAAACAGTCAAATGCCCAGTGGTAGACAAGTTCTGTCCTGGCAGACAGAAGTGGGTGTCTAGTGGGTGAGCAGACAAATGACTGGGAGAAGGTGGTGGCTGAGTGAGAATGGGTGGGTGGATGACAGAGTGACTGAGTAGGAAGAAAGGCAAGTAATCAACTCTGATAAGATTCTAGAATATCATATTTTCCAACCTTTTAACTCTTGTTGTGACTTTCCTTTGAACATTCTCCAAGTCTCATATCTCCCTTCTCTTTGTCTAGCAATCTTTAGCTCTCTCCGTCTCAGCCTCTCTTTCCGTGTGTGTGTGGGGGGTGAGTGTGTGTGTGTGCGCGCGCGTGCACACACGTGCACACTTTACTTTCCCATAACAAAAAGCTTACTCTGGTGCCAAGTAATATTTTATAACAACAAGATCCCTGATATGTAAATGTAACTGCATTTAAGAATTATTTGTAGTAATGAATTTGTGGAAATGTAATGAAAAAAAGAAAATGTGCTTGTTTATTCCTTTCAGGAAATTCCTCTATTCCCTCTGGTTTTCATCAGCTATATTTTTGGCAGGCTATGGACATGGAAATGTGAAGACATCACTCTCAAAGAGAATTATAATAATCGCATCTGATTTATACAGATGTCACCATAGGGCTAGGCAGTTGGAAAATCCAGCAATCCAAATGAATAGGCACTTAAAATAAGGACATGCCATACTTTCGCAAACACTCAGTTTTTTAACATTATCAGTAGTCCATGGGAGATTTTTTTTTCAGACCTCTGAAGTAGCCACAATGGCAAGACAGATTGATATCTTACAAGATGAGAGCTAAAGCAAGCTATAGACGCCGGTGGTATACTTCCCGCAGATCTGTTATAAAGATTCCATTCAGTTGGATGCCTTGAGCATATACTGTGTATGCAAGGCACGAAGGAGGATACTGAAGAAATAAAAGACATTGTGCCTGGCCTCAAAGAATTCATGGGATAGTTGGGGTGTTTTAGAGTGGACCTTATGGGGTTTTAGCTGGAGACTAAAGAATGAGTAGGACTCCTAAGCGGGTCAAGAAAAGAGCATGGGTCAAAGTTAGGAGTCACACAAAGGAAGGAGTGGTGTGTTTAGGAGACGGTTAGGAGGCTAGTCTGGGCAGATGAAGGTAGCATGTCTGAGAGTGGTAGCGGGGTAAGACAGATGGGCAGCACACGAATCAAGTCGTACAGGATTTAGAATGTGGAGTTGAGATCTGTCATCAATATAGACCATTGAAATGTGACCTCTTTTTATAAAGCCAACACTTATTAATGCAATAGTATCAATCTCTTTGAAGGAGAGAAACTCATGGGCCGATGAAAACTCTTTAACATGTAAAGCATTTTTATAGAAATGCAGCACAATATCACAAGTTAAGAATATATATTGGGGGCGCCTGGGTGGCTCAGTGGGTTAAGCCGCTGCCTTCGGCTCAGGTCATGATCTCAGGGTCCTGGGATCGAGTCCTGCATCGGGCTCTCTGCTCAGCAGGGAGCCTGCTTCCCTCTCTCTCTCTCTCTGCCTGCCTCTCTGTCTACTTGTGATCTCTGTCTGTCAAATCAATAAATAAAAATCTTAAAAAAAAAAAAAAAAAAAAAAGAATATATATTGGGATTGGGGTACCTGGGTGGCTCAGTGGGTTAAGCCTTTGCTTTCAGCTCAGGTTAGATCTCAGGGTCATGGGATTGAGCCCCGCATTGGGCTTTCTGCTCTGCAGGGAGCCTGCTCCCCCCTCTCTCTCTCTGCCTGCCTTTCTGCCTACTTGTGCTCTCTTTCTGTCAAATAAATAAATAAAATCTTCAAAAAAAGAGAATATATATTGGGACTAGCACATGGAAAGAGAAGGGATGGAGGAAATAATGGCTCTGATAGACCCTTCTACTGTGAAGAAAATTATTCTTTGGAATTGAAGAATTAATTGAACCACTAGTGGCCTTCGGAAGGACATGTAGTTAGAATGGACAACTAAATAAGGATAATAAACCATAGTATGTATCCCAAACCCTGTCATCCAGTTTGAGCACATGTTAAGAAGACAGGCTGGCTTCTGGTTATTCTGACCTGTCACCTTATAACATACCAGGGTGTTTATTCTTTATTGAACAAATAAATACTAGAAACCACTAATCCTACTCAGGGAGGTTAGTACAGAAAGGGTAGTTATAAAGGTCAACGGGGAAGCTCCAGAACCGAAAAGAACAAATAAACACCATTTCACTTACTGGACGGAAAGTAAAACCCATAGATATATGTAGTATCTTCCTTCCCCTTCTCCTGTAGGACTGCCATGCTCCTCTCGGGGCCAGTGGAATAAGCTCCAGGCCATCTCCCCCATAGCTTCTGACAATCAGTTTTCCCCTTTCTCCCTGGGGAAGAATCTGGCAGGTTAAGGGGATAATCCTAAATGCTTTTAAATTAAAATGAACCCAAAGAAGTGAGAATACGGAGACACTAAAAGTCAGACCTCCTCTCTGCCTCATGTGGAGAACTCATAGCCTTTACATTTGGAAACCAAACCGAAGTGATCCCCACACATCCAACACACACACGCGCGCACACACATACACTCACACACACTTTCTCCCGCCCCAAAGTCCAAGATGTTCCAGACAACATAACAAACCACGCAGTTGGGAATGATTCATATGTTTCCACTCTCGGTCCAAAAATGAGCCAAAAAAAAAGTTTCCACTTAATTTATAATCAGAATTTTCTGCACGTTTCCTAAAAAAATTAAAGGGGAACAATTCAAAAATCTGGCCTTTCTTTCTCCAAAGATTACTGATTAGTTACAGACCAAAGTATCTTTTGGTAAAATACTTTTGTGCTCCATCCAGCCCAGAGGACTAGGGCTATGGCTGTGTGGTGCCAAATAGCTAATCAATCATCCAGTGTTTTCGTGTTTTCGGATGTTTTCAAAAAGCTGGTGTTCTGCAGATACAGGCTTATTCTATCCAGTCTTTTGTTATCTCCATTGTACATATGGATACAGAGTTTTCTGTTTGGAGTGTTTCTCAAGGCCAATGCCTTATTATAGTTCCAACACCTGCAAATATTTGGCAGAAACTGCTCCATCCTCTCCATATCCCCCCCCTTCCTGCAGCCCCACCCCCACCTCTTGCCATTATGAAGCTGTACGTTTCTACAGTATGTCCTTTCCTTGATGCTTTTAATCGTTGATCTGTGACCCATGAAATGTGCAACTGCCAAAGCATAAAGTTAAGTTGCAAATCACATTTCATGGGCAAAACTTAGGTCCAAAAAAAAGCAGCGGCAGGCCACAGCAGAAAGGATACTTAACGTGGGGTCTAGAAGCCGAGTTCCCATTCCAATTCTGTGACTCTGACTGAATCACTTAACCTCGCCAGGTCTTAGTTTATACCACGTTACAGTGTGAGGCTTCAGCTAGAACAAGTGCAGGGCCTAGCGTCTTAGGCAGCTAAGAACTGAAATCAATGAGCTTATTCCTCGCTATAGTTTTGAAGGGAATGAGAATATCACCTTGAGTGAAATCCACAGATAAATGCTGAATTTCATACAAATTTGTAAATATTAGGTATAAATAAAAAACGAAGGCAGCACAGACCATTGTCAGTGTGACCACTTCTCAATACTGCTTGCAACAAGTTACAGAAAAGGAAAATATATCCTATTCAGAGTATTGCTACCATCGCCAACCATGAAACTTTTAGGTAAGTTACCAGGACTTGTTCAGGGCATGGCAAAAGGAAAATCCCCGCTTCCTTCTTGCCCTCCTTCCACCCTATCTGGGTCTTCCTTCCAGCTTGGCTTCTATATCCAGTCCCTGTTTGGGGGTGGTCATCTTGTTAGTCATTGAAACATTTATTTTTCCTGGAATTTCTGCTAAATAGCTCCCTTCATAAGAGCAGTTAAGCCACACAGCGGGCAGGCAACAGGAAGAAAACAATTTGCTGGAGCTGACATTTGTTAACATCAAAGTGAGGCAATAGGGTTTTATAAAATAGGCACTTAGTCTTGTGCATAAATACTATGTGGCATGACAACTTCGGAAAACTCTGTCCACGGAACACAAATTAAAGACTGGCAACTTCCAAGGCAGGGACTGCAACCAAGGGCTTCAGTCTGCAACCCACAAAAACGAGCACAGGCACAAAATCGGATACTGGATTCAAGATTTATTGCCTTCGGTTTAAAGTTTTAGTTCAGACATTGGATTATCCCTCCTGACTTCGGGTAAACTAAAATTCCTTTTTTAAATTTTGGGTCTGCTGTTCTGCTCTGGGTTTGGTTTTTTGTTTGTTTGTTTGTTTGGTTTGGTTTGGTTTGGTTTTTTAAGGCAGGCTTAGAATGAGCTCCACGTTAAGGGCTTGAGGGCAATTAGTAGCAGGCAGCCAATGCCAGGCCTTTGTTTCTTTAGCGTACTGAGCGGGCTAACACAGACGCTACTGTCCTCCACACAATCTCCCGCCTACATAGAGACACACTCAGACACCTCCACAGAGACACGCCCAGTTTTCCCATTGCTCTCCCCATAGCTGTGCATATCAGCACATATGCTAATTATAGTACACCTACACAGGTACTCACATACTTAAAAGAAGAGGTGGAAAGATCATGACAAAGATACGTAGTGTGCGATATGTCACTGACAGAGGAGAGAGGGACTCGTTTCCCTGGATGGGCTACTGGAGTGGCGCGCAGGGCCAAGGGCTTAACTCATCCAGACCAGAACTGGCCAGAGGTGAAGGAATGAAAGCAGGTTTATGCAACTGACGAAACAGGTTCCAGTGAGAGCTTGCAAGTGGGTAGGCTATTCCTCACGAGAGCACCTTGGGAGTTAATGGACTTGTCACCTAGGCAAGGTGGCCCTAGCTTTGTTAGGGAACTCACTAACTGTACGGCTACGTATAAAAGAGACCAAGCTGTGTAAGGGATATTTCCCAGATCCCTTACCTTGAGTTTCTCAAATCGGTCATTCAGGGACGCGACCTGATGGTCTCGGTGACGTCCCACCAGTTTGCATAAGGCACAAATCAATTGGTCATCGGACACACAATACATGTTCACTTTCTCATTCTCATGGTCCAGGCAGGTGATCCCTCGGAGATGCGTGTCGGGCACTGGTTCCACCAGGCGGTGGCTGGTGAAAGGTTTCTTGTTGGGGTGTGTGGCCCGCAGGCAACGGTCACAGTAGGAGACCTCACAGGTGATGCATGTTTTGACTGCATCCCTTGGCGGGTCCTGCTCGCAGAACTGGCAAGCAATTCGCTCACTCGACATGGCCGTGCTGGGCCTATAAGTCCTCTCCCGGCGGCTCTCACTTGGGGAATTGGGCCCACTGACGGAAGCCTTCTGGAAGCGATCGATGATGTTCTGCAAAGTCACATTCCTCTTGAGGCCGTCCAAGCCCCGGTGGTTCAGCGAGATAACATACCTGCACGTAGGACACTGGAAAGCGGTAATGGGTTCAATGGATTCACCAGAGCTGCAGCTCGAGACCAGGATGCGGTGGGCACAGCTGAAGCAGAGGCTGTGGGCACAGGGGAGCAGCAGGGGGTCCTCGAACAACTCCAGGCAGATTGGACAGGTCAATTCGGACTCCAGTGTTTCCATCTTTAGTGAAAATAATCCTGCTGGGGCATTAAGAACCACAGAGGCTGGGCTTTCACCTGCAAGGAATACAAAGCAGGAGTCACTAAGCGTCTCCAAAGGAAACGTGGATAGAGCGTTGCTTCCACGCTCACCAGCGGAGACTTGGCATGCTGGATTCCCCGAGCGATGCTGGAGCAAGAGGAAAGCCAGCTGGAAATTAATCAAAAAGCCTTTTGCCCCCTGATTCAAGCCTTGCTTTCGACAAATGCCCGAGTTTAGGCTCCTGTGCTAATAAATAGAACTGTGTGGCCACCTCTGAATCCTGGTTGACTGGTTAAGACTACTTTCCAGCTCACAATACCGTCGCGGGGCCATCCCTCACATATCATCCACTGGCATCTCTGGTCCTGGACTATGATGAGCCTGAGGCCCTGCGAAATTCTCCATCCCCATTTTCCAGTACCATTCTGTATTTTATGTCAAGCAAGCTTTGCACCTCGTCAAGCTCAATGAGAAGGGACTGTGACTTTGCAACTTACTCATCAGTAGCTGCGGATCAATAATGAAGATGCATTATCTTGTGGTTTCGGCTGGGTTTTATTAGTACACACCCACTGAGCAGGCACAGGCCTGCTACAAAGCACACCTCCCCATGTGTGTTTTCAGCCATCCTAAAACGTTAACAAGATGCAAACCAACACCCAGATACAAATTAGCAAGGCGAGGGGCCAGAAATTTTCAGATCTGGTAACTTTCATTTCGGTAGGTGCCATCAGAGAGTAAAAGAAGTCACCCGATTAACATGAAACTGATCTCTTGGTCAATCTCTCTCTTCTTCCGCAGACATTCCTGAGCTGAACATAATAGATACTGCCAGGGGTCCTCCGTTAATTAAAATCAACACACAGAAATGTTCTAAGCTAGACCTAACTGAGGAAAAATATGTCTTATCAACAGAAATTGGTAATCCTATTTATAGAAAAGAGAAAAAGCCGTCTTTGGCTTTTGAATAACTTTTGTTCATCAGCTCACTATCATTGGAAACCCTCGCCAAGGCCTAAAATTTCGATTCTGCCACTAAGTATAACAGATGCATCTTGAAAAGCTGCTTCTAAATCAAACCTTTAAGCATGCACTAAACTAACTAGCTATCTAATGGAAATCTATAGGAAAGCAGGTTAGAAAAGTAAAGAGTCTTTTTTGTAAAACAGCCACTCTCGGTTTGATAAGTTCAGATGTTTGTATGACCAATTTCGTTCAAACATGAGACGCGTGGTCAGTCTTAGTTTATGATTTACAAGTGCTTCTAAATTGTTGGCTGGCCATATGTGGCTTATAGTCTCTATCAGCACTCACCTATAGAGAGGAAAGGGTAAAACAATTACAATGTGCATATATCACAGAATCCTAAAATTGGAAGAGACTCTGGAGATGATGGATTCCAACTTTTGCTCCAGGCAGGAATATACCCTTTGATAGCTCCGCTGCTCAAATTCAACATGTCCATAAATGGACTTGCTATTTACGCCACCCCTTCACCCAACCACCCCCCATCCCCACCACAAAAACCCCAAACACCTGCTCTTCTTCCAGTCTTCCCTATCAGGTGAATATCAGCATCCATGCCTACAAACCCAGGAGTTCGCACATTGGCATGTTTATCACCACAGCCACTGATGGCTTCCAGAACATTCTCTTTTATTTCCTTTACAGATCTGTGTCTCCAGCTAACTCTCCCTGCTCCTTGAGGGCATCAACTATTTCATATTTTTATTCTGAGCATGGTGCCTCAGACATACATAGGTATTCAGTAATTATTAAACAAAGGATCCCTTAAAGTAGAAGTCGGAAGAAGGGACCTAGCATTTATTGAGCACCTCCGGTATTCTGAGTACTGTTAAGCCCATTACACACATTACTTCAATAAATTCTGTCAGGAAGCCTGTGAGGAAGGAACTACCATACCCATATTACAGTTAGGAAATTGGGGCTCAGGATTGCTAAGTAAATCAACCAGGGACATACATACCCAGCACACTGGGTCAGTCTGATGCCAGCGCCTGTGCTCTTTCCCCTACACCTTTCTTTCAACCATCTCACCTCCTTCACTGAAGTTCATCTTGACTATTTGCAAGTGGGTTTCTAAACAGCATGTCTCCGCTTCTACTTTTGTCTTTCCGTGTCCTCCTGAGTTTCTCTGAAACCTCCTCTCATTCCGAGTCCCTTCCAGAATCCTATCTTTTTCTTCTAGGCCCAACTCCACCTCACACTGCATTTATTTACTCTCTCTTCCAGAACTAGAAGTCTGCATTCTTCAATGTCTGTGTTGGGAGCTACCTGGGAGAACTGAGGAAGGTTTCCCTCCAAAATGACAGATGGTCAGGAGCATTGCTGAAAGACCTCTACATGCTGAAACCTGTAGAAAAACAATTAGAGCATTTGTGGTACTCTTCTAAATCTTAGGAGGGCGCCATACAAATTCTTCCGTACAAGAGGAAAAGCTCTCCTGAGTTTCCCTGAAACCGTAAATACTGTTCTGCAGTAAGTGGGACACTTGAACCTCGCTATGAAATTAAGCTCGGCAAAGTTTGCTATGGGTCAGCATTGCCTTGAATAAGGTCAAGATAGGACTTTTAACCAGGGACTTCTGAACCTCCTAGAACTGTCTGAAGAATGTCGCGTGTTTGTCATATATGCATTCTCATGGGAAGAGGGTTGTCCATCCACAGCATTCAAAATGTTCTCAGAAGAGTCCTTGACAGAAAAAAGTCAAACACCAGTGCTCTGAAATAATCCACCTTAACTGATTTCAGCTCTATAAAGAATAATATAAGATGGTTAACAATCTGTTGCTCATGGTAAGTCACTTTTCTATACTATTTCTATCCTGTTCTGTTTCATCATCATCTAGCAATGGCGGTAGCCAAGACTGGGAAACTGAATATTTTTTTTTTCAACTTCTTCAAACATCTGTTCATCTCATCTCTCATTTATGAGGCCACCTTGTTCTGGCCAATCCTAATATTTCAACATCCTTTCAACTATTTCCCTTTTACACTACTTCCCTGATTATTGAAGCACCTTTCCCCCTTCAAATTTATCTGACATATACTCTGTGCCAGGCCCTAAATAATACCCTTTACGGGCATTATCTCATTTCATTTTCACAACGACCCTCTAAAAGGTAGGTAGTATAATTACCCCCCCAAAAAATAATAATAACCTGTCCCAGATCACATTTATTTGCAAGGAGCAGAGCTAAGATTCAAACCCAGAATAAGACTGAGAGTCCAGAAATAAACTGATATACACATATGTTTATGGGCAAGTAAGTTTTGACAAGGATTCCAAGTCCACTCTGTGAGGAAAGAACAATCTTTTCAACAAATGGTATTACAACTGCATATCTACATGTAAAAAAAAAAAAAAGAAAGAAAGAAAAAGGTGATGAAGTTAGACCCCCCCACACATACCATATACAAAAAATTGTCTCAAAATAAATCAACAACTTAAGTGAAAGTGCAAAAACTACAAAATCTTGGAAGGGAACATAGGTGTAAATCTTTGTGAACTTAGATTAGACAAGGGTTTCTTTTCCTTTTTTTTTAAAAGAACACAAGCAAGGGGAGCGGGATAGGGAAAAGCAGGCTTCCTGCTGAGCAGGGAACCCGATGCAGGGCTTGATCCCAGGACCCTGGGATCATGACCCAAGCTGGAGGCAGACTTAACGACTGAGCCACCCAGGTGCCTGTAGGCAAGGGTTTCTTACATTACACTAAATGCACAAGCAACCAAAGAAAAAAATAGATAAACTGGACTTTATCAAAATTTAAAACTTCTGTGCTGCAAATGACATCAAGAAAGTGAAAAGACTACTCACAGAATGGGAAAAAATAATTTCAAGTCCCAGATGTGATATGGGTCCAGTATCTAGAAATACACAGAACTCTTAAAACTCCATAGTAAAAAAGATCCCCCCCCCAAAAAAAAATGGGCAAAGGATCTGAAGAGACATTTCTCCAAAGATGATATACAAATAAAGGATCAGTAAGCATATGAAAAGATACACAATATCATTAGCCATTAAGGAAAGCCAAATCAAAACCACACTGAAACACCACTTCGTACTCACTGGGATGGCTATATTACTACTTCACACCCACTAGGATGACTGTAATTTTAAAAAATAGCAAATATCAGCCAGGATCTGGAAAAACTGGAACCCTCAGACATTGCTTGTGGGAATGTAACATGGTGCATTTGCTTTAGGAAATAGTTTGGCAATTCCTCGGATGGCTAAATGTGGAGTTAGCATATGATCCAGAAGAACTGAAGATGTGCTCACTCAAAAACTTGTACACAGATGTTCATAGCAGCATCATTCATAATAGCCAAATGGTAGGAATAACCCAAATGTCTGTCAATCGATGGATAAACAAATATGGTACAAACAAATATCCAATGGAATATTATTCAACAAGAAAAACTAATAAAGTATTGATCCATACCACAACATGGAAGGAGCCAGTCACAGAAGGCCAAAAGTTGTATGATTCTTTTAATATGAAATGCTCAGAATAGGCAAAACCATAAGAACAGAAAGTAGATTAGTGGTTGCCAAGGGTTGGGGAGAGGGAGGGAAAGGTGGTGACTGCTAATGGGTACAGAGTTTCTTTGGGGGATGACAAAGAAAATGTTCAGGAATCAGTGTGATTGTTGCACAGCTTTGTGAATATACTAAAATCCACCAAATTGTACACTTTAAAACAGTGAATATTGTGATACATGAATTACATCTGAATTTAAAAAAAAAAAAGACTCAAACCCAGGTCTGACCCTGGAGTGTAAACAGTTCACCACTATACTATACTGCCATCTATGTAACGATGTAGTCATTCTAAACCCTCCTGGATTACTTCTTTCTATTGTTCTTCTAGGTCAGTGAGTCCCTGTCTAGGTTTTCCAACACCCTACAATACCTCTAATGATTCAATGGTTGTCAGAAAGTTCTCAGTTGCCAATTTGTATTCATTTAAAAACCACAAAGCTTGCCTGGGTGGCTCAATCAGTTGGGCATCTGACTCTTGGTTTCAGCTTGGGTCATGATCTCAGGGTCCTGGCCTCCAGCCCCTGGTCGGGCTCCACTCTCAGTGCAGAGTCTGCTTGGGATTCTCTCTCTCTCTCCCTCTCCCTCTGCCCCTTCCCTTGATCTCTCTCTCTCTCTCTCTAAAACAAATAAAATCTCTAAAAGTGAAATAAAATAAAAAACACAAGACTCCTTAAAAAAAATGCCTGGCTCCTATATCACAAAATACTTTTAGGAAAGACAGAGGGAAGCAGTATGACAAAAATGAAACAGTGGCAAAGTGTCGCAACTTCCAGAAGTCTGTGAATCACTGATCTCTGCAGAATTAGAGTGTGCTAAAGATAAAGACACGATGTGAACCCGATAGAGTGCCACCCAATAACAGGTAATCAGGAAGCTTTTACCAGAAAACACTATGGTTTGTCACAAAAATGCACTGATGAAAAACGCCTGGGAGGGCAGACCAATTGCCATGTTAAGAAACAAATGCCCACATCTGAAGACATAGATTTGTTCCCTTCTCTATCATTTAGTATGTTTATGCATTTGCCCTTGCTGGACTTTATAACTGTTTCTGCCTGCCTTATCTTCACTTTGCACCCCCTTCAGGTGGGAGACCCCTAAAAAACAGAGGTTGACGAGACAGAAAGATAAGAAGGTATCAGAAGGCTGTGTGAGTGAGTGAGTGGAAATACAAAAGAGGAGCTTCCGTGCAGGTGGTTAAGATAAAAATAATGCATTCTACACCTACAAAATGAAAGATTGATTTCGGCATTGCCCTCCAAATCCAGCATGCCGTCAACTCCGATCACCGAGAAACGCTGTGATCTGCACTTGCCAGAATTCTATTATTTCAAATGTTATTTGAACATAATTAAATGCTCCTGTATTTCAGCAGTTTAGATTCGGTCTAGTTTTCATCTCCCAGGTCTGCAGAGCGTGGCCCTGGGCTCTCACTACCTCCCTAAGGAGCCATGGTTCCCTTCCACCCCACAAACACACATCCCCTTCTTCTTCACAGAAAAACCCGAGTGTGAAACCAAGCCTGACCTCTGGGCTGTAGAATGAGAACTGAGCTGAGCTGGAGGACTTGTTTTAAAAACAAATTAATGGAAAATAAACATTCTTCAGGATATTAACATGAATGTCCCATGAGCTTTTCCTTAAAACACTACAAACCCATCTCCCTGCCTTGGGGGATGAGAGAATGAGTCCCAGCTTAATCCGATGTTTCCCTAACTGTAAATGTCATATAAGTTGAACTAGAATCACCACACGATCTCTTTAAGATGCTTTCCAGTTCTGATAGCCGATTATTACAGAGCTCTTGCTCTCTGTCCCCACATAGGAAAGACACGGAGGCTTTATTGAAAACTAGCTGCTCAAAACACAAACCTTATTTATTGGTGTGACAAGAAAGGCTGATCAGTGAAGGGCATCATCGTGAAAGGAACAAAACGCCAAGATGCTGAAGGGCAGCGGCTGGTTTTGCCTGTTGTACCTCAAGGAACATATAATGGGTGTTCCTAGAGGACAACAGAGGGGGAGAGGAGTACAGGGGTTGGGGGGGTACAAACTAACGAGAACACCTTTTGGAACTGAAAAGGAAGACAACCAAATCCTGGAATGCTCTTAGTAGGAAAGGACCCCCCTAAAGCTGGGGGGGGGAGATCATTTGGGATCACAAAAGTCAACAAATGCATAGAATTCTCACCCTAAAAGGACACGGACTAAAAACAGAAACCCAGGGGCACCTGGGTGGCTCAGTGGGTTAAGCCTCTGCCTTTGGCTCAGGTCATGATCTCAGGGTCCTGGGATCGAGCCCCACTCGGAGGGGAGCCTGCTTCCCCCTCTCTCTGCCTACCTCTCTTCCTGCTTGTGATCTCTCTCTCTGTCAAATAAAAAAAAAATTAAAAAAAAAAACCAGAAACCCAGGAAAAAAGAGGCTAGGTGGTCAGTAAGCATAACTAATAATAGCCATCTTACATTTGTGTACCATGTGATAGTTTCAAAATGGTTCCAAAGCCATTATCTCACTGGATCCTCAAAACAGGGCCTGGTTATAGCCTGACTCCAAGCTGAATTAGCTGAGTGATCCTAGGTAATACATTTATTTTTTTTTTTTTTAAAGATTTTTTTTTTTTATTTATTTATGAGAGAGAGAGAGAGCGAGCACAGGCAGACAGAATGGCAGGCAGAGGCAGAGGGAGAAGCAGGCTCCCTGCAGAGCAAGGAGCCCGATGTGGGACTCGATCCCAGGACACCGGGATCATGACCTGAGCCGAAGGCAGCTGCTTAACCAACTGAGCCACCCAGGCGTCCCTAGGTAA